CATTTATACTATAACTTAAATCTTCAATGTCCATGCCAGAACCATCAAGAGAAAGGTGGATAAGTTTAAAAAAGAGGGAACAGTGGAGAGGAAAACTGTATCAGGTGACCACAACAGCAATTGGGATTTCAACTTAGAGTTAAAGAGATCAATTAGAAAAGATCCAACTCAATTCATAAGACATTGGGCACGCGCGAGAAAAGTTTCAACTATGACAATCCAAAGAGTAGTGAAAAAAAAAAGACTTGGAAATGAAATCGCACGTGAAAATTCTGATGCAACTTGTTACCCCAGGACAGAAGTTTAGAAGCTTAGAGAGGGGGAAGATAATCTTTAATATGTTGAAGAAAGATCTTGGAATAGAATATATATATATATATATATATATATATATATAACTGATCCAACGTGCAACTCTCGGATAATAAATGTGACATTACTGTAATTATTGAATAATATAGTTCATGCCATAAAAAAGAATTCTCTGGTTGCTATATTTGTACAAAAACGCAGAACCTTAAAATTTAAATTCAAACTCAGCGTTGCGATCACACGTTCCAAAACAATAACACATTTCTCATAGCATTTTTTCGGATTACATCTCTATTTTCGTTGTCCTCTTATTACTGAGAAGTAAAAACAAGAACAAAATCTATTTCCATACCTGATGATGTCTGTAGGAACAGACGAAAGCTTGTAAAAAATTAAAAAGACCTTATGCAACTGGAATTTATAAACGGGGATCATATTCATATACAGGTTCGGGGTTGATGTATCTTATTTATATTGTTTGCGACAATGTATTCTCGCCATTTAAATCATTAACCTCTATATTTGATTTTTGTATGAATGATTCATGAATTTATAATTTATATATATATATATATATATATATATATATATATGTGTGTGTGTGTGTGTGTGTGTGTGTGTGTATGAACTTTGTTTCAATCCTTCATGATTTACAAAACATTAGCTATGATTAATTAATGATGAACAAGTTATTTTCTTTTATGATCGATTTCATCACAATATTTTTGTTTTCGATTAGAGAGAAATTATACATTCTTACTGCGCAAAGTAGAGTCCAATAGTTTTATAAGAACTTCGGATAAATGCAGAAAGTTACAACGGTTCACAGCTTAATCTAAAAATTGGACAACTTTGCTGTTACACGATTTAGACAATTTTGCTGTTACACATAGTATATATATATATATATATATATATATATATATATATATATATATTAGAAAAATCAATGGCAACAAAAAAAATAATTGGTGTTATTGCGTTCGTCAATATATATATAATTTTACTGAGTATTGAGTTTGACATTCATTAAGCTACCAGAAGTTCTATAGCGGTGACAAACCGATTTAGTAATTATGTACATATAACCAGAGAGAGAGAGAGAGATTGAGAGAGAGGGAGTGTGAGATAGATAGATAGATAGATAGATAGATAGATAGATAGATAGATAGATAGATTGACATGTTCAAAATAACACTTCAAACTTCCAGGAATTTAAACAAGATAATTGATTTTTCGTCTGTAAAATTACGAAAGGTGTTCCGTGTATTGCTGGTCAATTCACACATTAAGTAAAATGATTCCATCGGGAAATAAAAAGAACTACATTTCATAATTTTACGGAAGCATTTGACCGCCATAAATTCTCGTATGTTTTGGATACCAACTCGATATATATATATATATATATATATATATATATATATATATATATATATATATATATATATATATATATATATATTTTATTGTTTATATTTATATATATATATATATATATATATATATATATATATATAAATTTATTTTTAGTGTGTTCATAAACAAAAAACCAACTGATCGTGCGTCATTCTTAATTGTTTTTCAAGTTATAGCAACGAAGTGTGTATCTTGGAAAAATCGTATTCAGCAGAAATTAGTGAATAGGAAATAATAAATGAATTGGACATTGGTGTCAACACACACACTGCGTCGCTTCCACATTCTCTCTCCTTCTCGTTATCACACACACATGCACATGCCTGCGTAAAAACACGCAAAACACGTGCGTAGACACAAATCGTTCACTCGAGCAAAAACAAAAAACAAAAAAAACTCACGCATAAGTACATGAGGGAAGATTGGCACAAACATAATCATATACATATAGACACACACGCATATTAAAATAAAAACGCACACATAACCACATTTTTATAGGCAAACATACGCAACTTTGAGTTAACATTGTTTCCCGCACAAGTTTTACTAAAAAACCTTGAGGTAGCATTGTTTCCCGCACAAGTTTTACTAAAAAAACCTTGAGGTCGCATTGTTTTACTAAAAACCTTGAGGTAGCATTGTTGGGGAACAAGTTTTACTAAAAAACCTTGAGGTCGCATTGTTTCCCGCACAAGTTTTACTAAAAACCTTGAGGTAGCATTGTTTCCCGCACAAGTTTTACTAAAAAACCTTGAGGTAGCATTGTTTCCATGTTTTTACTAAAAAACCTTGAGGTAGCATTGTTTCCCGCACAAGTTTTACTAAAAAAACCTTGAGGTCGCATTGTTTCCCGCACAAGTTTTACTAAAAAACCTTGAGGTAGCATTGTTTCCCGCACAAGTTTTACTAAAAAAACCTTGAGGTCGCATTGTTTCCCGCACAAGTTTTACTAAAAAACCTTGAGGTCGCATTGTTTCCCGCACAAGTTTTACTAAAAAAACCTTGAGGTTTCCCATCAGGTCGCATTGTTTCCCCAAGTTTTACTAAAATCCTTGAGGTAGTTTTACAAAAAAAAAACCTTGAGGTGGCATTTTTTCATGGACAAGTTTTATAAAAAAACCTGAGGTATCATTGTTTCCCGCACAAGTTTTACAAAAAAAAAAAAACCTTGAGGTGGCATTTTTTCATGGACAAGTTTTATAAAAAAAACCTGAGGTATCATTGTTTCCCGCACAAGTTTTACTAAAAAAAAAGGTCGCATTGAGGTTTTACTAAAAACCTTGATCATTGGACTAGTTTTACTAAAAAACCTTGAGGTGAATTAGCACATTTTTTACTAAAATTGAGGTAGCATTGAACATAAGTTTTACTAAAAAACCTTGAGGTAGCATTGTTTGTTTACTAAAAAAACCTTGAGGTCGAGATTGTTTCCTGGACAAGTTTTACTAAAAAAAAACCTTGCATTGTTTCATGGACAAGTTTTACTAAAAACCTTTGAGGTAGCATTATTGTTTCGCACAAGTTTTAGAAAAAAAAAAGGTATCATTGTTTCCCGGTGAGGTGGCATTTTTTCTTTTGACAAGTTTTAAAAAAATTATTATTGTTTAACAAGTTTAACAAAAAAAACCTTGAGGTGGCATTTTTTCATGGACAAGTTTTTATCTCATTGGCAGAAAGTTTTTAAAAAAAAACATTGAGGTTGATTGAAAATAGTAAAAAACCTTGAGTTCTGTGAACCCGTACTAGAAGTTTTTAAAAAATACCATTGTTTCATGGACAAAGTTTTTAAAAAACCTTGAGGTGATTAAATCCTGCACGGTTTTATAATAAAAAACCTTGAGGTAATTGTTTTTCCATCCCAGACACATTTTAACACATGTCTTGGGAGGTTTTGAGGATGAAAAATGTTTATTCTGTTTTAAATAATTATGTTCCTGACACACACACACACACACACACACACACACACA